TAAGATCTGCATATCGAGAATTGAGACCTATTGAAGAGCAGCAAGCAGGATGGCCTTGGAGGATGATCTGGAGAACAAAAATCCCATACAAGGTGAATTATTTCACATGGCTTTTGGCAAAGGAGGAAGTCTTGACACACGAAAACTTGAACAAGAGGAAACACAACCTTTGCTCTAGATGTTATTTATGCGAAGAACAGGTGGAGACAGTCAACCATCTCTTTTTGCACTGCAAATGGACAGATCAATTATGGCAAATGTTCATTCACAAGAGGAAGATCAAGTGGACAAAACCAGGGAGAATCACAGAAGTTCTAAAATGCTGGAATAGTGATGGAAATGCAGGAAAAAAGGAGGAGAGATGGAGGATTGTCCCAGCATGCATTTGGTGGACAATTTGGAATGAAAGGAATCAAAGATGTTTTGAAGGAAAGAACAACAATATTCAGAAGATAAAGATAAACTGCCTAGGTCTTTATTATTTTTGGTGTAAGCAAGTAGTAATAGGAAATTCTGAAGATGTTTCTAATGTTATTGACTGGCTGTAACTAAAAGATCTTAGGGCTGTTGTAAGTACAATTTTTTGGAGGGGAACTACACTTTGATGTAGTATACCTGTGGATATATAAAAGTAAATGTTACCTTTCTCAAAATAGTTGTGTTTAAGATACTTGCACAAACTATTTACAGTAAATCTACTTGCTTTGTTCTATTTTGTCGGATCTCTACTTCTGGTTACTATCAGAGCACTTTCTGGCGATTTGCACTGTGAAGAAGTCTATATGGAGCAACCACATGGTTTTATTGCTCAGGGGGAGTCTAATAGCCTTTGTATGTCGATTGTGCAGTTCACTCTATGGTTTGAAATAGTAATTCAGGAATTTGGCACGACTCATAATGGGGCTGACTCTGTGTTTTATCAACATTCTGCATCAAATCCAGTATTTCATGAGAAGACTAAGCACAATGAGCTTGACTGTCAATTTTGTGAAGTCGAGTGATCAACTTGCAAGTATCTCCACAAATCCCCTCACTGGTCCTCGTGTTAATTACATTTGCAACAAGGTAGGTACATAGGACTTGTATGCACCAGCTTGAGGGGGAGTGTTAGAATAGGAATGGGTATATACAATCCTATTTAAAATAGGAATAAGAATTGTCATAGGAATAGGAATAGTAAATAGTATCCTACTTGGTAAAGGATTGTATTGTAGTGTCTATAAATTGGGTCTTTGTGTAATAATGTAGACACAACAATTCAATAATATTCTTTTTCTATATTTCTCACATATATAATTGAGGTTCTTTGTTCCAAGTCTAGACTAGTTATTAGTGTTAATAGGAAAAAGTGCATCTCTTTATTTACCTGAACTTGGAGCTTAGTTGCTCATTTTGTGGGTTGCTCTTATCTCGTGAGTAATATGTTGGAGCGGGAGAAGATCGGAGCAATTAACTTGTTTCAGCATCAAGTCCGAAGCAGCCTCAGATTATGTTTTTCTGACCAGATTAATCCAATTAGGTCAAGTTCTCTTCTTTAGATGATAAGTCAAGTTCATTTCACTAATAATACCCCAAGATGATGTCAAAAGATTTACGAAGTGAGTGAGTGGCTAAATAATATTTATCAATCAAGCTCTTACAATCTAGGGATGAAGGTTCTCATTCTTTAACTTAATAAAGAAGGGAATAAAAATGGTCTTTAACTTACAATCTAGATTAATACATGTGGAATAATTTCATACTATTCTCATTCCAAATTGTCAAAAACACACAATGTTATGGTCTTCCAAATTTCTGTGTTCTCCTTGCTAAATCTCTGCCATCTCCATTTGGTCATTGTCTCTTTAACCGTTTTTGTAACACCCAAGCCATCTCACAAATAGAGTTTGAGATTCCAATTTGTTCTAGTTCTTAACCTGTAGGAGTTGAAATTTTCTACCGATCAGAGTTTTCAAGTGACAATCTATGTTAAGCAAGAGGGACCATTAGTTATGTTGGATGTATTCAGACTAATGGACCGAAATTCTCCCTTTTATTTGTCTTTAGACTCAAAATAATCCTTCTTCTTTTCTGTGGATACTAATAGTCCTCCTCTGCCAAATTGGTGCACTTCCAGTCCACCCCAAACGTCTGTCTCCTGATTTAACGTGAAGGTTGTACTCCTGCAAATCACGCGTGACATTTTTTATCAGTGAAAATGATAAAAAAATGTTTGCCTGCTCTGTTTCTCCCATCCAATCCTTTCGAAGCCCTTCAGCAAAATCCCCAAACCATAAGGTGTTTATTTTTAAGAACATAGGAGAAAAAAGCATGTGGAGACCATTGAGAAGCTGAAAGAGAAAGAAGAAAAGATAGATGGTGCAAGAGGAAGTTGAGACTGAGAAACATAAAGGGGTAGAAAGAGGATCAAATTGTCTTGCCACAGTTCATTCGGTTACTAATTTTATGTTTGCATTGTTATAACTATAAGATGGTAGTTGAATGGAGCTGCTAAAAAGTTTTTGCAAGATTGTTATTGAATAATGGAGCTAGTAAAAGGTTTCTCTAAAGTTGTAATTTTCCCAAATAGCTACTAATTAGGTTCTGCAATGCTTTGATAGAGCCCTTAAAGTAATTACAGTAAATAGGATTTTCAAATTTTTTCAATTCCTTAATGAAGTTACTAAAACTTTCTCCAATGCTTTAATGGTATTGTTCAAGTAATTACAGTACATATGATACTAAAATGTCCTTTTCTTTATCCCCTTGAAAACTCAAATTTCTCTCGCATAAACCAAACCCTATCCCAAAGAAGATTCATAAATTAGCTACTGAACAGCCTAAGTTACCACTTTATCAAAAGAGATATATTTAGTTAAGTAGCACTGTTAGTTTGGCTACGACCAAAGCACTCAAAGAACCAAGTCCTTTGGCAACTATCCAAGAATGTAAATGACGGAATAATGATAATCAACATAAGTATTTAGTGTGAAAAACTTCTTGCTTAATGGAGAAGAAAACCACGACCCACCTCTGTAGGATTTTTCCAAACTTCTCCACTAAACTCGAGCCCAAACTTCCGGGTTTGCAACTACCCTTGCAACACCCAAGGAATTGTTCCCAACAATCCAATCTCTATCCTCTCAAGTCTCAACTCTTCCTAAAGGATCTATTCTGTTAGTGAATCCCCTTATAGATACAAAACAATACCTACTACAATCAGCTAAGACGGTAATCAAGATATGTTTTTGGAACTAACTGCGTTTGATATGGTATTTTGATATTAATGTTTCGGCTCCATTTAGGGAGCTTTGCTGCTTACTTCATAATCAATGAATAGAGAGACAAAGCTACTAGTCATTTGGACTGAAATGTGATTCAGTGTGTGGCAAGCACATGAAGGTTTCCATTAAAGAACTTGGCAATGAAGGAGGACAATTAATACTCCATGTAGAAGGAGGAGGATTGTTTTTGTTCTTAGAGCCAAAGATGAGGGACAGTTCTGGTCCTTCTTTCGATTGATAAGCTGCAGGATAAATGTAGCTTTTCAGTGTTTGGTCCAAGTGTTGTCAAAGGCATGCTTAAGCCCTAAAGCGAGGCTCAAAACATGTTGAGCGCTTTGACTCACTTAGTGTGCACTTCAGTGTCGTCATCAAGACTCAAATTCATACTTTTCCTTGCCAGTGAGCCTCTTCTGAAGAGTTGACATTACATAATTAATATTTCACATTATTATTATTTTTTTAATTTTTTTTGTTCATGCTTATAATTATCAGTCTTGCACTAACCATATATCTTTATTATTGGTTTGTTTCTCCACTGTCATTTCCTCTTTTTTATTGTTATGATATGTTATACTCGAGTTCAGGGTTCTCCAGAAACGGTCTCCTTACCTCCACGAGGTAGGGGTATGGTTTGCATACACTCTACCCTCCCTAGACCCCACCTGTGGGATTTCATTGCGTATGTTGTTGTTGGACTTAACATGTATATTTGTATTTATTCTCTCTTTGTGCCTTTTTCATGAAAGCTCATGCTTTATTTGTGCTTTGCGCTTAAAACCCCAACAAACCTTAGAGCTTTCTTTGCGCTTTTAACTTTTGATAACACTAGGTCCATGATGCCATGTTCCCAGTACAGGAAGTTTAAGTTCTTGGTAACCCTACAATGAATTGTTCAAATGGAAGTTATTTCTCATTTATGAGTTACTACATTGGAAAAATACCACAGATCTACTCTCAATGTGGTAGGGAAAAAGACAAGGAAACAGAAGTAGGCTGTGGTGTACCATCAATTATTATTCCCAATATATGTTCTCTTATTTTGGATGTCTAGACTTAAATATCTAAAAGAATTTAGGGGGGAAATCAATATTTGAAGCAACTTATGCGTGATTTGTCCAAGGTAAAAGTTGTTGTCACTGATCACCCACTTTTTATACTTGAACCTATTACATCATCCCTTAATACCACCTTTTCTTATGATGGGTAATTATCCATATTAACTGGCATCTTGTAATGGTCTTGAACCTTAAGACAATCTTAAGATACAGAAATAACAGGAATATAACAATAGAGCAGTGTATTTGGGACAATTTTCTGATTTATATTGGAACTGAAATGAATTACAAACTAGACTAATAACAGAATAACAGGAATTGGAAAGGTTGAACAGTAGCCTTCTAGCTTGATAGATCTGCAGAAATGGAAGAAGAAGAATAGAGGTAAGAATCAGGAAGGTGAAGAGAAGAGTCTAGAAGAAATTTGGGAGAGAAAGATACCTGATATGTGCTGAATGAATGTTCTCTGCAGGGTTGTTAAGAGTATAACAACCAGTCTGATGAGCTGTTACTTTGCTGACGTGGGGCGATCCTGACCCTCGGACCTCATTAAAGTAAATCTAATTCTAGTCATTGATAATTAATTTAGTAATTCCTCTTCTGGCTAACTATGTGAAATAAGAAAGGGTCCCTGGCTGTGACACATCTGAACTGCAACCAAACATGTGAGTGAAGAATTATATTGCTTTGTATACCTTGAGCCCTTGCTTCTATTAGGTCCAAGAGTAATGGACCACTAGGATCTACAGTTCTCCATATTTACCAGCACATAAATTGTGAACAAACGTGGGTAAACTAAAGAAGTTTGTGTCTGTAAATTTGCGAGTCCTTGCTTCTTTTTCGTCTGAGAGTAATGGTACTTTTGAAGTGGTGCTAGTAGAGCTGCCATGCAATTGAAGGCCACTGATAGAAAAAGATATCTGTTCTGGGTGCTGTTTACTTTTGTTTATTTTTCTATTGAAGGACATTTTACCTATGCGATCCTTTAATATTTTTCCCTCGTCCAGAGGAATTATTTTTCAACAAAAAGAAAAAACAAAATTCCTGAAAGTGTAGTGACTTGCCACTACCAACTTCCAAGCTTTTCTGCATTCATCTTTGTCTTTTATCAGGTCATATAATCTTTAAATTGTTTAATCACTAGTAGAAAGGTCCTGCTGATTCACATTGGTGATAAGTTTTGAGAGGCACAAAATCACTAAGGAGAAGCTCACTTAGGTGTCATGCCCTAGGGAAAGTACCCTTCTAGTTGTAACTTGTTGATTTGCACTATCAGAGAGAATGTATTGTAATCCTTGCCACCATTTTATTTCCCTAACTCATGGGGGCTAGTCCTATCTTTTTTGCCAGAAGTGGTCTTCTAAGCATTCAGATTCACGTTAAGCACTACTTGGTCCAAATCTATTAGACAAGGTTTTTGAAATTCTGAGTCCAGCAAGTAAATTCGGTATCTTAGGTTAGCGCATTTTCGATCAGGTGCTGAAGAATTGAAATGCTGTTGGCTTTAAGCAAGGACTGGATTAATGAGACCCTGTATTACTACTTGGCTTCAGCAGATGATCACCTTCCTTGAGATACGGCTTTTTTTTTTCTTTTTATATCTCATTACAAAAAAAAAAAAAAAGAAGAAAAAAAAGGAAAAAGAACAAAAAACAGGTGATCAAGTATATCTGACTTGAAGAACTGGTCTGGAATAAGTCTTTAACTTCTTGCCTGATGAGGGGACACTTGCATCATTGGACCATATTATATATTCTTATTCAATGTCTGTATCTGTTAAAGCACTTGTTTCGTCTGCAAATAGAATTATGAAGATCCGAGAAGAAACCACTTATATTGAACTTTACTGGTTGTTAGGAAAAAGTGCATTACTATGATATAGCAACAGAGAAACGAAGAGAGTTTGATAGAGCCATGACGTACTTTAATAAGAAAAAGGTGAGCTTCCCCTTTCTAGCTTCATTAATTCCTCAACTGTTGCTATCACAGAAATTGAGCAGTGTTTCTTGCCATGTGATGGAAACTATGTGCAGGAAGGTGGAGAGTTTCAAGAATATGAAGAAGACTCCGATTTTGATGAATAGTAGTATGCATTGTTTGTAATCTTCAGTTTGAGTTGTTCGGTAGGAATAGTGTGTATTTTGGTATTATTTCTGTACATCCAACTTATTGATCTAGTCTCTTGACTTCATGTCTTAGCACCTTTGATGACTGAACAAGCCTCCTTTCCCCAACCAAAGCAGAATCCACTTGGCGCTCAATTATGGGTTCTGTATGTACATTATTAGCCTTGACAGCACTTGAAAGTAGATTATTCCATGCAGGTTTTCTGTATAAGTGCTGCACTTTTTATTCTAGTGAAGCAATCCTCCTCCTCTTTGAGTGTATATTTAACTTTCAGATGGCTGCACTGCGTTGTTCACAAAAGGTTTGAATGATTCATATCATTTACAATTCTGAAAGCATTTTTTGCAACAGAAAATATTTCTTTATAATTAACACCTTTTTTGAGTTCAACTTTTAGCAACTAAACTTGCCTTATAGTGGTTAGTATTTCCCTAGAAATCAATAGGTTATTAAGATAAGTTGGTGTAATTGATTATTGTTCTTATTGTGTGTTCTTTCCCTCTCTAAAACTCTGTAGGATGATTTTTCTTTTTGTTTTAACCTTGGTAGATTTTGTCGCCAGTTGCCTGTGGCTCATGAGCTCCTAAGAATTAAGTATGTTCTTGCATTGAGTATGTATTTTGTTTACTATTATACTAGAATATTGACATTGGGGATTGTGGATTATGGCTCATCTTTTAGAATCAATTATGGAACAACCTCTCTCAATATGGGTCCATTCAAAGGTTGTCCCAGGAAGTTAGATGTGAAATTCATTTGCCAACATAGGGCAGTGAATCGCCCAAAAATGGTCTAGTGTTTATTTACTACTCCCTCCGTCCCATTTTATATGATGTACTTTGATTTGGCACAAACTTTAAGAAAAATGGAAAGACTTTTAAAACTTGTGGTCCAAAATGAATGATAGAAATTTGTGTGGTTGTAAATCATTTCATTAAGGGTAAAAAAGACATTTTATAGGCAAATTGTTACTTAAAATAGAAATGTGTCATTCTTTTTGGAACAGACTAAAAAGGAAAGTGAGTCATATAAATTGGGACAGAGGGAGTAATAAAAATCAATAATTGACATATTGAATTTACCTTTTATCTATATTAATTATGAAGTTGATAAATTAAAAAAACTTAAAATTTTTAAGAAATTCTACATTTTTCAAAGTAATTAATAGAGGATATAATGGGTAAAATAAATTTGTCCTTTCTTTGATTCGTCAAAATGAATAAGTAATTAGAGACAAAGTAGAAAGAAAAGTGAACAAATAATTAAAAAGAGAGAAGTACTTTTGAAAATAAACAAAGTTTGAAGTTGAGTATGTATTTATGGAGTTGATGTTGATGTTGAAGAAAATAGTATACTGGGGGCATAGGGTAATGCTGCTGGTTGAATTGGCCTGGTGGAATAAGGTTGGAAGTGGAATTGCAAGAAGGAAATTCCCCCATGGCTGGTGAAAATTTTCAAACACTAGTGATTGATTGTATTTGTGTGTAATTCAAAGGACAGAGTGGAGACTGATTTGTGGCCTTATTGCCGTGTTATTTAAGTTTCCTTGTCTTCCTAACAAAGTAGATGGCCAAATCGACCAATTCGAATGATCATCTACTCATGAGCTCCTAAGAATTGTCTTCCTAAGATAATCATTTCGAATGAGCATGTGATTGACGACTAATGCCCGCATAGTTTATGTAAATATCATGAACCAACGATAATATGACATGGGACCGACTTTATCTTTATAATACTAAATTCGTGATAGAATGAACATGTAACGATGATCTTAGTGAGGTTCACCAAAAGTGGAACTGTAATGATAACAACCTAAGCTTGTGTGTCACTGTTGCTTCCAATGGCAAACACAAGTGTATGTGGTCGCATAAGTAATATAGTGTTTCTTAAAAAAATTGGATTATTGAACCCAAAGAACTTGTCAATTAACTATTTTATTAAATTATACTAGTTTAGCTATTTATTTAAGAGTGCCAAATAAATTTGACTTTTATTTAAATACTAAGAATGCAATAATTAAATAATAAAATTACTTACAATCATGTATGGGGTTTCATGTATCACATCTCATGCATGAATTAACTATGATTATCAAATTACTAATTTACATGGTTGATTTTATGATCATGGTCTCCCGACCTCTAATCGCCTACTCCAATTAGCTATCTAACTACATCGTTGAGCTGGGATAGACAGTCCTAATTGGCAAGCATTTATATTTCATCATGTTTTGTAACCAAGCTAGATGTTCTTCCGGGTGTCACTCCTAAACACAAATCAACTCAATTTAATGGAAGAATCAAGGTTTTTGTATCTTTTGGTCTATCTACTTTAGCGTCTCCCGAGTTTAAGAGTAGACAATATATTTATCTCTATGGTGATCAAGCATGAAATACTAAAACAAAAATACAAAAGTAATTTAAACAATAACCAACATTAATTTAAAACAATCGATGTGCAACAATTACCCTTAGCCACAACCCCCGGACAAGGGTCTTTAGCTACTAATGTGTAAGAAAAGAAGAAGAAAAGAACCCTAAAATGTATGGACAACTTTATACTTTGATGCTCTATGATTAATGTCTCCCTAAATAATTATTTCTATGGTATATTTATAGATATAAAAAAAACCTTAAATAAAATAATCGAGTCTAAATCAAATTAGGAATCCAAAACCAAAAGGAATTTGTTTTTCGCGTGGAACTGCACTGCCGAACCGCCTTACGCTCTTGTTGCCTTCATCATTGCCACGTGGCAGCAAAAACAATTTTTCTTTCCTTATTTGAATATAAATTATATTAATATTATATTAGCTTCTTTCTATTTAGCTGTCTCCTTGATTTCCTTTTTCAACTTTCCATCTTTAATTTGTTTTAGTTTTAAATTTTTTTCAACTTTACACCAATTTACTTCACAAATAAAACACACTATTAAGCACAATTCATAAAATTCATGCTAAAAAAGGACAAACATAAATAATAAATGTGAGACAAATAATGATTAAAATTATGTATTTTTGGCCTCACATCAACACCCCACACTTGAACATTTGCTCGTCCTCAAGCACACATCAAATCTCAAAAAATCAAACTAGGAGTGTCATCACTTTGGTTGACACAAACAATTAGGCCATATACCAATTTCAAAACATCAAGTACAATTCTCAATCATTATGCAAGACATCCAAATAAACAACAAATCTCTAACCTCCTAACCTCAAGGAAGGACTTCGAACTCATCAAATTTAAGTTTGCTCACCCACTCTCATCAAAGAAAGTTAATAAAATCACTTATCCATCATGGAACAAGTGCCCTCACAAGAAGAAATAGTCCACACACTCAATTCAAAAGATTGAATATAAATTAAGGACTTACCATCAAAGAACAACTCACACTCACAAATAAAATTCACATGTATTAAAGAACCATAGGCTTGTCCATTATGTACATCTTCACTAATTAAGAATGCTTGAATAGAATCAAATAGGACTCTAGTGAGTTACACTTCCTTAAGCACTTTGCACTTTAAGACTTTATTCATCACCCATTATTTTCTTCTCTTTATTTTCAGCCCTCTCTTCAACAATTATTTCACAAGTAATGCTCATCATTTCAAGAATTCTTCAATAATATATATATTTTTTTGATTAGAATTAACAATTAGAATAAGTCTATGCTATAATGCTCAAGGAAGCAAGGTGCAAAAACTAGGGATTCAACAAAATAGTTAAGGATAAAATATGACTACCAATAAAAGGCTACAAGCTCAAAAGGGCTAATTAGTGATATAATATTGAAAAGGCTAAAATTTACAAGAGAAATAAAAGAAAGCTTATTATCATCTTCTAAACAAAGCAACACTTTTATTTCGCTTCAATAACATGCGGGGCAAGTTCTAGACTAAGATGCAAAACATGAAATAAACAAAATCTCACCACACATGGCACAAGTATCAATCAAGATGGATTGATTCCACTACTAAGAGAGACAAGATCATAACAAACTATAAAATATAGTATGCTATATACAAAGTCACAATCATGAGCATATGTGTCAAAGAGTCCGCAATTTCCTTATCAATCAAGCATTCACAAGAAAGTACTACTCAAAAATTAGACCTAAATAGCAAGTATCACACCACTCAAAAGGGTCTTTTGTTTTCTCTAAAAAAAAAAAAATCTTAAAAAACTTATTCCTAAAAAAAATAAAAGACACTCGGTCCAAAGGGACTATCCTCAGGAAAAGAATCAAAAACAAAAGCGAAGGAACCCATCCTAGAAAAAAGAAAAGACTCAATAAAACAGTAAAAACTAGGAATTCATTCTTCCACCCCACACTTAAAAAGATTCTATGTCCCCAAAACATCAAATAAAAGTTAAAACAAGGGTTAGAAAATCTCCCTCAGGCCTCTAGGCCTAGCTAGTAACATGTTCTCTCAATTTTCATCAAGGGTCGTACGCACCCACACTTAATCTCAAACGTGCTCCTTCGCTTCAAATGTTTGGGTACTCAGACTTCTCCTAATCCACAAAAACAAGACAAAAAAGAGTGACACTAATAAAATAAAAATATAATAAAATAATAAGTTACACTACTAATTAGGTTGCCTCCCAATAAGAGTCTAATTTAACGTCGCGACACGACACAAATAAATTCACCACTTTTATTTTCACTTTGAACTTATGAATTTTACCCCTAACTTTGCATCAATATTTTTGC